GTAGCCTTTGTTTAAAAGTGACTGTAATGTAAAATACTTACCTTTCAGGGTTTATTTGTAAACCAAGTCTTAACAATCTGTCTCTGCATTCCTTTCCTCCTATTTGATAAAAACCTTATCCTTATAATTCATGACCCCAGGAATCACTTGTCATGAAGATGAATTCTGGTACTTGGGGACCCAAGTCTGTTTTTCCCAGTGACAAAAGAAAAGCAGCTGCTCCCACCTTTCTGAGGGGAAGGGGTCGCTGGGAAGGACAGTTGTAGCAAATGCATCTGTGGGCAAAGAGGCAGCAGCAGAGGAGAAGCAGATGAAAGCTGTATTAGATATTGAAGCTGAGGGTTAAATAAAACCAAATGGCAAAAAATGCTGTTTAAACATAACTTGCACTATATCAGCTGAAGCAGCCCAAAACATAGAGACTGCAGCTCCCCATACCACTGGAACAAGTTCTGCTTTTCATTTCTCTGATGAAAAAACTTAGCTCTTAGATTTTAAAAACTCTCGATATCCACCAAATAAAACATAATTTATAATGGTTCATAATTAAGGACTGTGTCTTCTAGATGTATAGTGTTTCCCGCAAGAGAAAACAGACTTGCATGTTCCTTTCAGGCAGCTTCTTTGTGAAAAAAGTAAAGCTAGTAACATTAAATTTCATATTTGTGTTGGTTGGGTGGTGCCATAGTTACATCTGAACTTCTTTCAGATGAGTGAGATGAGATACCCAGGGAAGCAAGAAGCCACTTCCCGCGATACCACGTGGCAGATCTGAAGGATCCGCACAGGGCAGTATTAGGCCCAGGAAGTCGGGCAGGACACCCCTCCCGCACCTGCCTCTGCAGCCATACACCCCCAGAGTACGGACCTGCTAAAGCCACAGCTCAGCTCTGCTTGTTTGAAAGGCTGTAGGTAGCTACACCTCTGTGTTGAGTCCCTGAGTCAGTGTCAAAAAACATGTGCTCTCCAAACAAGCTCCTCCATGCTGCCAGTAACCTGTTTCAATTTTCCTAATAATGTAGTACAAGGCAGTTTTTCCCACCCTGGTCTTTTAGGGAAATTCTTCAGAAAAGAGCGTTTTAATTTATCTCTTCTAAGCAGCGTTTTATTTTAATTGCTCACAGTGCATATTTTTACCTCCTGTATATATTAGCTATGAAACTACAGCTCAGGGAGGGGAATCTCAGAAGGTCTGTCTTGCACTGTTTTCCCTTCGTTTTCCTCCCACCCCTGTGGAGAAAGATAAGCTTTGTACTTTAGGTTCCCCCAGTTGTGCCCTTTATCATGTCAGTCCTTTCCTCTGACCCTGTGAAATAATTCAAGCTTTGCACTTTGATTTACATCAATCTTTTGTCTATTACAAAAAAAAAAACCCCAAACGACCCCACCAAAACAAATGAAAAACTCTCATAACTATCAAAACCAAACCTACAGGATCCCCCTGATATTGAAGGCTGCCTATCTATTGACCTTCGCATGCACTGGAACAAGTTACCAGTGAAGAGAGGAGATGAAACTGGCTGCAGCCTCTCACTTCTCTGCCTAGACAGATAAAGACAGGGGCTTTAAATTTCTCCAGCAAAAAAAGATGCCACTGAACTAGAGCAAAGGCAATTTTTCATTTTCTATGAACTCTACACCACAGAGAGGCTGCAGCAGCGCAAAGTACCACATGCTTTTCTGTTGTTCAACTTGGAAAAAAGGAACTTTCAACAACTCCCTCCAGAACACTGGAATACTAGCTGATTAAATGCAAAAGGAGAACAGGTTTAAAAAACTTTTTAATTTCTATTTGATCTGCATTCCAAAACAATTCAAATATGTTCCATTTACTGTAGAGAGAGGCAAATTCTTTCAGAAATTTAATGCCAAGTTCAACCTGTTTTACTATACAGCACAAGCTTGCCAATTTGATGGCATAAAGTTTTTTTTAAAAAACACACACACACCCCCAACTCTTTATTAACCTCTCAAGACAGAAATGTGCATTTTAGCTACGTTCGGTTATGGACGGTACATTAATCCATCCAGCAGAAGTAACATCTGGACAGAGGTCAGGTAAACTCTACGCTTTCTCATAGTGGCGAACAGCAACCACATCACCAAAGGTGAGAGTCTGCAAGTTCAAGGAAGAGACAGACGTGTTAGATGCTGGACCATCTTCTGTAATGACTTAACACATATGAAGAAGCCTATGCTAGAGCAAGGTTGGTTTACATGATTTAATTTATAGAAAAACAAATCTGTCTAGATTATTGATATTTTAAATGAAGAGGCAGCAAAACCTTAGTTATTGTTCCCATAATAAATGTAACTTTCTCCTTGCTACTTTCAAACCCAAGAAGCATATAATGCACATTTACAAGGCAACTCAAGTGAGGGTAAAAATGGCTGTTCAATTTTTCTCATTTTTGTGAATATCATTTCTTAAATATAGAATTGTTTAATACAGATTTGACACTTATTTTCCCAAAGCTGATCACACTCCAAGATGTGCAATCTAACAATCCAAGTCCTTGATACCCATATTCTATACTATTATGCGTAGGCATATACTTGGAGAACCTTGTATTAAAATAAATGCATTCTGTGCACTTATGTAGCTAGAAGTACCAAATATTTTAGTCGCTGCAGTTGTGCAGAACACTAACTACAGTGTGAGAGTTATGGAGGTATTTCCTGAAGTGGAACACAGCATCTCACCATGTTCAAATTTGAAAGGAAAAGGTTTTCTGCGTAAGTGTGTAGCTATTTCCAAAAACAAAGCACGTATTTTCCCTTGAATTGCTTGTCACATTGTGTTGCACTGACTGTATGCTTTAAGGTTTTAATTCTTTGGAAGTTTCCATCCATACAGATACTCTCTGAAGTATTTAGACAACAAGCTAACTGGTTTTCTCCAACAACCAAGTCACATAAATTAATATAGCTGAAGAGGGGTTTTTTTTTTTTTGAAAGTTACATCTCTGTGCCAAAAATATGCATACATTAGCTATAGTAACTTACACCATTTATTCACCTCATACTCTTGTTCCTGAAGAGTTGGGAAAAGAATGTGAATTTAGAATAAGACTTTTCTTCACACAATTGCTGTTTATTATTGTTTTTAACAAGATACGAGCAATAAACCCTTTATTATGAACTATGAAAATGCTATTACTCCTGCAATATTGTAATTTCCTAGTGAAATACTTGTTCTGTGTAATTAAATATTATTTATGTGTGCATATATATCTATGAAAAACAAGTTTTTAAAGAAATCTAAATTAACACTGGCAACAGATCATTGTCTATATAATCAAGAACTCTGTATTGTTTCCAGCTCACCAGGACTTTTTTTTTTGCTTAGGCATTTCCACAAACACCAGAAAGAACATATACACTGGAAATCCACAAGCTGGCCTGCCTAAAACCATTAGCAAATTTTCAGCTGTCAGTAAAAGATGCAAAACAAAACAAAATAAATATTTGAAAAAATCTCTGCTAGCTTTCCCCACCAATTCGTTTAAGGTTTTGCATACAAGTAACACTGTCTGTTCGTAAAGCTTGAGAGAAATGTGAGGAGTGTGAGCGGTATATATGAATGCTCAGTGAGCTTTATACTTACCATTACCATTTTGCCATCCTTTATTTCTCTCACAAAGTTTGTTTCTTTGCCGTCCCACTTCTGTACATGCACTAGCTTGTCTCCGTCCAGGGTCACAACTGACTGAGATACCAAGAAACACAAAGACATTCATTTGTTTGGGGTATTTGGGAGTCTGCTCACACATTCAGCATGCACTATTCTATTGAATTCTCTTCAATAGATGGATGTGGATCTAGAATGATAAAGTAGTCCCAGCCATTTTAAAGCCAAGCCCATGAATCATCCTCATTTTAAGCATGAGCTCCATGCAATTCTTGTTTGTGTCAAAGGATGAAAAAAGTTGTTTCCTCTGAGTTCCAGACTCACAAGAACCACCGTTTCAGACGTGCTTTGGGATAACGTTTATGTTAAACCCCCAAAGATGCAGGGAGGAAGGCATTTCCCCATTTTGACTGGAAAAAGTTATGCCACATGATGTTTGGACTGAACGAAAAGCGGGCAGCTAACACCACTCTGCTACTCTGGAAGGGGGCTGGCGACCTAACACAGCGCTTCAGACAAGACACGGCACAAGCAGGAAAGTAAGGTGCAATCTTGTCTTTTTTTCCCTGCCCTTCACAGTGCTACAACTGGCAGTAGCAGAAGTGCCTTTTTTTTTTTCCTTTGACTCTCACAAAGATACAGCCTCGGGGGCGGGGAGGAAGAAGAGAAGAAAGAAGCCACTGCAGCCCGAGAGTTCACTTACTTTGCAGTTTCTGTCATCGGGGGTAGTTTCATCAAATTCCTCTCCAAGTTTAAAGCTGATTTCTGTATTTTTGAAAGTGCTCTGAGTCCTGATCACTACTTTGTCCCCCTCGCTGCTGATAATCACGGTGGGTTTAGTCACATTCCCCACCTGCCGTGTGGCAAACCCCACTCCTAGACCATCAAGGGAAAAGGGAAATCCATCAGACATTCGCTTTTTTCATCTTTTTTGCCACACACCCAGGTACAGAAATCTCTTCCCGCGCTCTACAGCTTTAAGCTATCGCAATGAAATGCTACTTTCTGCTTCGCCTGTGCCCTTACACCTAAAGTATCCATACTACAGGCAGTCTCCTCCACACAGGTGTAGCTCTGTATCCTCACTCACCTCCAGCACCGCGACAAGGCACCCAAATTCAGGAGCAGGGCAGCGGAGCGGGCGGCACTCGCTTCTGCTGCTGCGGGTTTCAGTTCCTCAGCGCTCCGAAATAATTATTTCCCCCTCCCCCCCTTTTATTTCAAGATTTATCAGCAGGCGGCATTTGCCCCTCTTTCATTCCGCTCTCCCTAACCCCGGGGCATCTTCTCCGGCACCCCCCGGCTG